TGCTGTCCCCCCACCCCCACCCAGCGCACCGCCTCCGTCCATGCGTGAGCCTTGCCTGGCTGCGTGTCCAGCCCCTGCACAGGTAGGAGGACGCCACGCACCTGTCGCCTCTCTGTTGCAGCCTCGCCATCTTTGGCAAAGAAAAAATACTCTTTTGAGACTTCGCAGTTCTAGAAGCCACTCCGGGATCCTCAGGAACATGAGTGGACGGGCCCGCGTGAGGGCGCGAGGCCTCGCCCGCAGCCCCAGAGCCGCGGAAGTGGGGCGCCCCCAGGCCTCTCCCTCGGTGTGTAGAATGCTTGGCTCGCATTGTTTCCTTCTCTCCTATCTACCTGCAGCCAGGACAGTGCTTTCCTCTGCTTGTCTTCTCTTCTCTGCTAGGAAGTAGTGTGTTATCCTTTCTCTCAACTTGGAGGCTTTCCGGGGGTTCTCACATTTTTTCCTTCTAGGGATGGTATCTGAGTAAGATGTTAACGTGGGTGTATTATTCAGTGGAGAGGACTGCAGATTGGAGGCCAGTGTGTCATTCTCTTCTACTTTCTGAGTTTTAATTGCTCAGTTTGGTTTTAAATTGCCTGGTAAAAATTGATGTACCTTTATACCATCACATGCAATATAATCTAATACAATTTGTTTTGTGTATTGGTATATATAAATAATCTCAAACACAGATGTGGTTTAGATACAACTACTGTTGCCCGAGCAACCACCATGGTAGGGCTCCTTACTGGCCTTTGGGAGCTAGATTGAATTGACATGCAAATAAACAACTTTTGAGTGATATTACAACTATGTACTCTTAGTGTTTGGAGCTGCCTCTTAGACCAAAAAGTACTCAAGTGGGTCGTCAGTGGTCATTATGCCTTTACTCTCATGAAGCTGTCTTTTCCTGACTTCATTTTGTAGCAGATGGAGATATAGTAACTTCTTGAGAAAAGAGAAGTAGTGACTATGAAAAGAGAAAATATTAATGGTTCCCTCCACCTACTTAGTGTTTGGAGCTGCCTCTTAGACCAAAAAGTACTCAAGTGGGTCGTCAGTGGTCATTATACCTTTACTCTCATGAAGTTGTCTTTTCCTGACTTCATTTTGTAGCAGATGGAGATATAGTAACTTCTTGAGAAAAGAGAAGTAGTGACTGTGAAAAGAGAAAATATTAATGGTTCCCTCCAACTATGTATTTTGTGAACTAATTTTGGCCCAGTTTTTCAGATAGCGTCATTGTCTGAGTCGGTGACTCAGGTCCTCTGGGCCATGGAAGCATGAGACCTGTGCACGTCTGGGCCATGTTCCCTCTGATGAGCTCCCTGGGCACAAGGATGACATCTCCGCCTCTTTACACCTCCAGGGTCTAAAGCTGTATCTGGTTCACAGTTGGTGCTAAAATCAAAGTTTGATGAGTGGGGAAAACCAGTTTGTCCTTAGCCTTTTTTTCTAGAATGGCATTGTCTTCTCAACCCCTCAAGGGTCTTTACTTTTTAACATTTTTTCCTAGTTCATGCTAAACTAATGATTTATGATACTGTTCCTATTTTGTGATAAGCTTTTGGTTTGTGACTTAACCGTTAAATATGAACAAGACATTTTTTGCCCATTTTAGCCTCCATCCGTTGATCTTAGTGACAATGAAGCATCCTCTAGCAGTGACTTTGTGGGAACAAAAAGGACTTTACAGAAAGGTAAGTGAGACTCAGTCTGTTCCATTTAGTTTCATTCAATCTGAATGGAGCAGGAGTGACTCCATAAGCCTTAGAGCAGCAGGCTCACTTCTGGAACATCCCATTTTCCTTTTCTTGAAGGATCCCCCTTTGCCATGTTCTTTTGGGACTTCCTTACAGAGAGTCAGCTGCTGAATTTCCTGACTGCTTGGTAGATGGGAATCCAAAGACATTAGGAAGCCAGTTTCTGATCCTTTCTGTTCGCTGAAGAATTTTGAAAAAATATTTAAAACATCTTCATGGTATTCAAATGCCAATGCTGTTGCCTTGCAGGGATGATAGAAACCTGGCACACATGCTGCCATGGTCCCTTCTTCCGTCCCACCTGTGGTAGACAGCTCCATTTGATGGTAGCTCACTTCACTGCAAAGCCGGATCTGGTCTCAGGATACTTGTCAACCCTCTACTCTGAGGAGCCACTATCACATAGTGCGAGTTGGCATGCCTGATATATTAGTTTGCTAGAGTTGCCTTAACAAAGTAGCACAGACTAGATGGTTTAAACAACAGAAGTATATTTTCTTGCAATTTTGGAGGCTTGAAGCCTGAGATCCAGGTGTCAGCAAGATAGGTTTCTTCTGAGGCCTCCCTCCTGGGCTGATAGATGGCTTCTTCTCTCTGTGTTCACATGATCTTTCCTCTGTGCAGTTCTGTGTTCCAATTCCTCTTATGACATCAGTCATATTGGATTAGGGACCACCTTAATAACGTCACTTTAACCTAATCAACTCTTTAAAGTCTCTATCTCCAAATACAGTTACATTTTAAGGGACTGGGGGATAGGACTTCAACATATGAACTTTAGGGGAACACAATTCAACCCATCACCCCAGATGAAACCTGTTAGCCATCTCCCTTGTTCTGACCATGAAGTTAAGTGATTGATTTCTAATAAATGTGCAATCTGTAAGCACTTAAGATCTCCCAGACTCTGAGGGTCTGGTCCCTCCACCCATCTCATGCCTGGCTCTCCTGTTTCTTGCTGGGGTTTTTCCAGCTCTACTCAATTACCCCCTGTGATCTGAACTCACACAAATCTACTTGCTGCATGTGAGCACAGAAAATATGCTTTGAGAAGCAGGGCATCAGGCCCTGCACTACTGCCACCATTCAAACATTAGTCCAGCTCGGGGGATTTTCTTTCCATGTCTGCTGCACATTCTTGTGAATAGCAAGTGATGGAAACTTTCCATCCGTGGAGGTCAGATTGAATTTTTATTTATTTTCTTATTTAAATTGTGGCAAAATATATGTAACATAAAATTTACCATATTAACCTATTTTTAAGTGTACAGTCTGGGGATATGAAGTGCATTCATATTGTTGTACCACCATTACCACCATCCCTCTCTAGAACTTTTTTAATCTCACAAAGCTAAAACTCTGTACTCATTAAACAGTAACTCCCGTTTACTCCTCCACCCCAGCCCCCGGCAACCACCATTCTATGGTAGCTTGAATTTTAGAAACTGCCAAATGTCTTTTGAAACCAAGAGCAGTGAATGACACAGACAAACTAGTGTGGGAAATAGAATTTTTAAAAATTAAATAAGTTTTGTGATTTTCCTGGGAGGCTCACACTCTCCTGAGAAAGGTATAGGTGGCAGTTTTGAGCAAGAGGCAGTGCCATTTGGGATACTCCCTCAAAGGACAGTGGTCAAGGCAGAGTCCTAGAGATTCATCATGCTAATAGTCATATTACTTTGCAGTAATATCCTGTATTTTTATATTTTAATGTTATTTTCAAAGTCTCAAAGGTATGTCCAAAAAGTCAATTTCTCCTGTCTTAAAATTTAAACAAGATATACTCATTTGGAAACAGATTTTAGTTTCCTATTTTCTAGGAGCTAATGGTAAGTGATATGCTCCAAGATGAAACACTGGCTTTGTAGCATAAAAACTGATGACAGTGTTCTGGGCAATTTCTCTGCTTTTCATTGGCAAAGGTGAGAGATTCAGCCCATTTCTGTGCAGAATTTGTTGTGGACAGTGTAACTTTTCAGTGTGTTACACAAGAGCTAAAGGAGGGAGAGCTGTCCTCCATAAATAGGAATGGAGTGGGGCTCAGGGAGATAGAGCTAGGGAGTTATAGCACTAACCAACTAGATAGAGCTTCCTTCTAGCCAAGAAGAGAAAGTCTGCAATATTATAAGAGCTAGGACTAGCTCAAGGTCTGTTACTTCTAACAAAACCTTCCATGCTCACTTCACAACTTTCAATTTTTAGGCAGAAGACTTCTTTATAGTCATGAATGTTTTTACCAATGTGGACAAGTTTTATAAAAAACTACAAGAATCTGGAGTTTTGATTGTAGATGCATTTTCTTATATGGTAATTATAAACATTGTAACTAGAATGAAGTCTGAGATATTATTGTGTTCACTTCATGTTTTAGATGAAGATGGTATATCTTCTGGTGATGTTAGAAGTAACTTCATGGAAAGAGGTGTGAAAATTGGACGGAACTTCATGGATTTGGGTATCTGTACCAGAGAGAAATTGGCACATGTGAAAGATTGTAAAACAGGTACCCAGTCTTTGTGTTACTCACTTTTTTTTCATGTTACCAAATCTTGCTTTAGGAATTTCAGTTTCTAGGTCTAAAATAAACAAGTTCATATATTCACTTAGCAGATATATACTGGACATCTGCTATGTTCAAGGCGTTGTCTAGACACTTTCATTTTTTTTAGCCTTAATTTTCTCTTTTATTAATAGAAATAATATCTTCCCCAAAACTACACCACTCTTTTGGAAAAGATTTTCACCTTACACCTGGGGTGGGGGTTAAAAAGATGCCTCTTCTCTTTCCCAATCTTTATCCTATATGGGGAAATAATAACCTTCTAGACTTCAGCCGTGAAAAGAAAGACATGGCCTATTTTGGGAATCCTTTATCCAGATTCCAAGCTCGCCCCTGAAATTGCATGCACAATTGTGGGTATATGTATTTTCTGGGAAGAAGGCTTGTTGTTTTCATTGGATTCATTGACTCACTCAGATCAGTGCTTTTCAAACTTTTTTTTAACCAGGCAGCAAAGTAAGAAATAGATATATTACTATCCAGCATTGTCTAGCACAGACTGCACACACACAATTGAAACAGAAGTTTCAGGAAACAGTGCTCATCCTTACTACGTGTCAGGCACTCTCCTCCAGTCTGTTGTATTCTGGTCTTTTCTTTAAACATGCAGTTCATTTCACTTAATTTCACAAACGCAGCACTGATGGGGCCTGGCTGCAGTTTGAAAACACTGGTATAGGTGCTCTCGAAGGGTCTTGCCAGCTCTGATATTCTAGATTGACTTCTCTCTGTCAACTTATGCAGCTAAAATATATTGCCACTTCCTCAGGATCTGAGAGAACAAAAGAAAGCTTTTCTTTACCTAAAATAGCACAATGATTTCCTAGCTCCTACCTGATATATACTCCGTGTCAAAGCTGAGGAAGTGCTGAGGCACACATGACACTTTTCCTTCCTCCCAGCCTCAGGGGTTCATGTTCCCACTTCTTCCATGAGAAAAGCAAAATAGTGCCTATTTCATATAATTCTTTTCTGTAAGACAAAAACTGGATGATTCCCTATAAGGAGAGGCAAGAATTATCTCCTTTGTGCCCTCCTAGATTCTGTCCTGGGGGGAGCTTACACTATCCTGAGCACTAATCAACTATCGTAGCCATCTCTAATTTTGTCCTGTAGATTTTTAAGATATGAATAAAAATTCGGGGCCAGCCTGGTGGCGCACTCAGTAGAGTGCGGCACTTGGGAGCGCGGTGGCGCTCCCGCCGAGGGTTCGGATCCCATATAGAGACTGGTCCGCTCACTGGTTGAGCGCGGTGCGGGCGCAACACCGAGGGTTGCAATCCCGTTACCGGTCATGAAAAAAGACAAAAAGGAAAAAAAAAAAAATTCGTGTAGGGGGATGGATTCTTGGAAGCACACATGGCCTCCATGTGCCTGCAGAAAATAGAAGCCCAGAGGCCCTGTCTATTTTCACAATGGAAAATTCCTTCCACCCTCCCCAACCCTCCCATCAGTCTCCGAGGCCTTCTCTGGGACTTGTACAGTGGTCTAACCACTGATTGAACTTTTTCAGAATTTTCAGAAGTATGATTAACTTTTGTTTATTTCCCAGAGGTTGGCGGGTGAATTCATAGTAAGCATTGGACAATTTCTATAATGGATTGAACTTTTTCAGAATTTTCAGAAGTATGATTAACTTTTGTTTATTTCCCAGAGGTTGGTGGGTGAATTCATAGTAAGCATTGGACAATTTCTATAATGTAAGAGCAGCGTAATTTCCGAGCAGCATCTGAAAATATCAGTCGAGCTGATTTGAATTGCAGAGAATCAGAGCTGCAAGGCAAGCTTTGGAAGGAGTCCTGGGGTAGTTGAGTTCAGATGCTTCTCTCCTCCCAAGGACAAGAATGTCAGTGTCTGAGCTTGGTTTGTATGAGGCCCGCTTCACACACGATCCCATTTTAACTCCCAACAGTGTTATCAAGCTGCAGGTTTTAGAGTTTATCTTGTGTCAATGAGCAAAAATCCTTGCTTTACAGCAACTACTATGCATATGCAAATAAATATTTATATGATGTCATTAATATGAAATGGTGTGATTTTTTTTTGGTTAAAAAAACACTTTTTTTATTTGTCTTCCTCAGGTTCCAGTGGAATACCTGTGAAACTAGTCACAAATCTCTTTAATTTAGATTTGCCCCAGAACTGGCAGCTATACCAGTACCATGTGACATACAGTCCAGATTTAGAGTCCAGAAGGCTGAGAACTGCTTTGCTTTATAGTCATAGTGAAATTTCCAACAAAGCAAAAGCATTCGATGGTGCCATTCTTTTTCTCTCACGAAAACTAGAAGAAAAGGTATAGTATGATGAATTTTTTCACTCTATATGTGTGTGTATATATACATATGCCTATATACACACACATACTATACATATATACACATGTGAAATTGGCCCACATCCATGGATTCAACGAATGGCAGGTTGAAAATATTCAGAAAAAAATTGTGTCTGCACTAAACGTGTACAGACATTTTTTCCTTACCATTATTCCCTAAACAATACAGTATAACAACTGTTTATGCAGTATTTACATTGTACGAGGGTACTTCAAAAAGTTCTTGGAAAACTGGTAGTAAAAGATAATACAAATCTTTCCATGAACTTTTTGAAAACACCTTGTATCAGTGACTATAAGTAATTTAGAGATGACTCAACATATACAGGAGGATGTGTGTAGGTTATATGCAAATACTATGTGATTTTATATCAGGGACTTTAGCATCCATGGATTTTGGTATCTGCAGGAGATCTTGGAATCAATCCCCCGTGGATACTGAGGGACACTGGTTTATTTTTTAAAACTGATTGATTTTCATGACAATTGGAATGAGTGTTTCACTCACTCCTTTCCTCTTTCCTGTTCCCTTGCTTAAGAGATAAAAGACTTCTTAATTAAGACTTCATCAGTAATTGGTTTCTTAATTAAAAAGCTGATGATCTGGCATTTTAAATATAAGAGCTGTAAATGTCCTTGAAATAGGCATCCTTTTTATACTTTTCCCCAAATAGGCAAGACTTTAAGAAACACCATCTAACCTGCGGCTTCAGAGCTTTTTTCCCTTTCTTTCATAACTTGGTCCATCATATGAAATACGAGTTATTGATACCAATTTAAGAGTATTTTTAAAATGTAACCATTGGATATGGCAATTGAATGTTTCATATTCCTTTCTCCCTTTTTTTACACCTTCCATATTTTCAATCCTAAAATAAAAATATTAGTATTGATGTTTTATCATATGGTTTGTCCTAAAATTACTACAAGAAAAAAAGAATCAGTTTCTGTATGAAAAATTAAAACAGAGCATTGGATTAAAACTTTATGCTTCTATCCCTTGGAAAGCTTAGTCCTTTAATTCAACATTTTGAACAGTATGGTACCAATAGCATACATTTAAATTCCTAGACTCTAGGTAGATCTTCGTCAATTTCCTCAAGAAATGTGTTTCTGAGCACTCTTGAAGCCTTTATCTTTTTATGAGATGCTGAGATTTATAGGAGATAATTGAGTGATTATTTCATCTGAATATGGAACTTTAAAATTATACTATTATGGTTAAATTTATTGGCTTGGAAAATCTGGATCTGTAAATTTAGAAACATTTTTATTCACACTAAGTCCTTATTGATCCTTCAGTATTTTGTCTTATGACCAGATGTTGATAGCATGCTAATATGGCTTCTCATATTTAAGTGATACATTTCTAGTGTATTGCTATCAGTAAAGACCATCTTGTTCTTGTAGATACAATAGTAGTAACAGTTTAGAAATTTAGATATGTTGAAATTATTATATACCACTCTTGGGTCATCCAGCTTACTTCAGTTGTACCTAACCAAAATAGAGAAATTTTACTGTACGGATACTAGGAATAAGTTAATATTACTGATTTCTCATTCAAAATGAGCATGTAATATGTGTCAAACACTTTTCTGTTGCTTGTGATGGACTCTAATGAGGAGGCAGGTGAGAAGATATACCATAAAAACATGGTGTGGCAAATCAGGCCTGCTGATTTTATTTCCCAGATGAATATGTTACTGGGTTTGAACAGAAAAGTGTTGCATTATTTCTTATCAACCTATGACCTGCCACCCAGTTAACGGTGAAAAAGAAAGTGTCCTAACAAAGATACTGCTATTCTCAACTTTTTATTTTGATCTTAGTATTGACTCAGGCTTAATCCTGCACTCATGCTAACCCCCTACACACTTCCTAGGATGCTCATTGTAGTCAAAAGAGTCTTTCCACTAATTCAGTTATTGCACTCCTATGTAGTGTGGTTTTAGAAGTCTTCTTCAGCTGCCTCCTGGCCTTCCACTGCTTTCCAGACCCCATCTGTGCACCTGCATCACAAATGAGATTGCTATCATTGTTCACATCTATTTTCCACTCTCAGGCACTTAAAAAGTGCCTACTGTGTACCTAGCATGGTGTTACCACCATGGAGGAAGCAAAGATAAATAAATACAGTGTAAGGTAGAGTAAGTGCCTTAATAACAATTAGTGTTTGTATTATGCTTACACTTACCAAACACCTACTAGTTAAGTACTGTACTTGGTTGTTCTCCAAATTAGCCCCAGCACTTCTCCCTTGAGATGAGTAGATCTATGCTTTATGTCCCTTGAGCAGCCGCTACTACGATGGCTACTATTACACCTGCCAGATTACAGTTGTTGACCTCTTACTCTGCCGTTCTTTTTAGTATGATCTCATTTAACTCTCTCAACATGCTAGAGCCTTTGAGAAGTTAAGTATCTTGCCAACGGTCCTCATACAGAGCTTGAGGAAAGGCAAGATCATTCCTAGAAGGACACTTCACCAAGAGAGAGAATTAGTTCCTTGGGTAGAATTTGGATCAGGGAAGTGGACAATGAGGGACAGAGGAATTCCCATGCAAAAGGGGCAAAGGCACAATGATAGGAAGTGAGGGGCATATTTTAGAATCTTTTGGTCATTCAGGTATTTAGCCAGGAAGGTGTGGAAGTTGTGGCTCCAAGGGACAACTTTAAATGTCCTCTTCTGCAGAGAAATAGAGACTGTCCTTTAGGGACCACTGAAGGCTTTGAGAGAACATTTTCATGGAAGTTGTGTTAAATTACAGTTACTCTGATCACATCCTATTAAATGATGTACAGAAGGAGGCATGAAGATTAATATAGTGTCTGGGCAGGATGTCAGAGGGCTTGAACAGAGATACAGAGTGCTGCTATTTATTTAACCTTCCTGAGTGCCTGTGGTATGGATGATGACCTTCACAACCCTGTGTCTTAAGTTGGACTCATTCCCACTTTAGAGATGGGGGAAGGTCTTAAAGGGTTGAAGTAACTTGCTGCAGATCACACTGGCTGTAAGAAGCAGAGGACCAGGGCCTGCCCAATTCCAAATCATGTGCTCTTTAGCACTGTGGTAAATAATGATATTAGAACAACTGAAATAGATTAGACACATTGCTTATGTAGATGCACTAAGACTTGCCAACTGATTAGACTGTGGACTGAGGAGAAGTGGAAGTTCACTCTGAGGTTAGCAGCCTGGGGACTAGAAGGTTTGAGGTCCAGTAACAGATGGAGAAAGTGAAGGAGGAGTTGGTGTTTGGAAGGGGAGTAGTGGGGGGGGGGCTGAGGAGGCTGATCTTAGGTGACTGTTGGAAATGCAGTTCCCGAGACCATCTGCTGCCACCTTCCCTTACCCTCTCATCCAGCATTCTTTGTTGTCTTAATCCTTTGTCCCCAAATTCCTGCAGCAATTTGAGAACTGTGCACCCCTCCCATCTGCCAGACTTCTCCCGATATTGATGAGCTCTTCCTGCAGCTCTCCATCTCTGATTTCTATACAATTCAATCTGAAGCAAGAAATCATGTCCATGAAATAATTCATCCCCCGCGAAAGGACCAGTTTCTCTTCATTTCCATGTAGTGACTGGTTCCTGCCCTACATTCTTGGTTCAACCTAAAAGTGGTTAAAACTACACCATAACAATAGAAAATAGGGGCAAAATACCTAAATGCTTGCCTATTAACTGACTTCTAGTTCCTCACCCAAATCAGGGATTTTGGAAAATCCCTGATCGTTAATTGATATTTATTCTTTTATTTCAAAATCCTATTCCAAGTCCTGTCTGGTCCAAGAAGCTTTACATTTAGTTGGGGAGCTGTTATAGAAACCTATTCATGCAATCGGTATATTGCTAGAACATTGTTACAGGTTATAAGAACCCTAAGGACCTTTCAGAAATTTATAAAATCGGACTTTGTATTTGTTCTAACTTCCCCCCACTTTCTCCCTTCTCTCCCATGTTCACTTTCCCTCTTGTCTGTCTCCTCTCCTTTGCTTTCTTCCTTTCTTCTTCTTTGCTGTTCTTCTTTATGGATAAACTTTTGAGAGACTGTCCTCTGCAATCCATGAATTTGGGATGGGCAGGGCAGTCCACTGGTAGGCTCCTGGGCATCTGTGAATCCTCTGAAAATGGGTACGTTATGCACACTGTTGTGGTTTATACATAGGTGAAATTTTCTTTGGGAGAATGTCTGTAACTTTTATCAGACTCTCCAAATAATTTGTGACCCATCTTCCTCCCACCCCCCCAAAAAGGTCAAGAGCCACTGCTCTGGAATTCTCTTTGGATCAAATCTTTGAACCGTGAATCTGGCTTTGATTCTCCCTTAAGAAATTAGAGAGTAGAGAAATGTGTTGCTTTTTCTAGGATTAGAAAGACAAAGAGAAAAACATACTCTCCAAACATAACGTGATGATGAGATTATTACTGACATACTAACACCTGCAGTTTTGTTTTGGTTAATGCATGTTAAATCGTGATGGCTTTATAATATCTACATTCTGCACACAGGGATGATCTGTAGGGTGAATATTAAGTACCTCTTTTCCCAGGTCACAGAACTGTCAAGTGAAACTCACAGAGGCGAGACTGTGAAGATGACTCTCACTCTGACAAGCGAGGTGCTGTCGAGTTCCCCCGTGTGCATCCAGGTCTTCAATATCATCTTCAAAAAGTAAGTCGCTTTAAATGTGAATTTAATTTGGGCTAATGATACCTTTCAGCATAGAGCCTGGGTATTAAAACCATCAACCATTTTGTAGGCAGTGTGCCAGCAACAATGCCACGGTTAGGGCATTTTTCACGCACTTTCCTGTACTTAGCAGTCATGTGTAGCAGAGTCCACCACAGCTGCTCACTGGCACAGATCGCCATTATCCACATTACCCAAGTTAAGACAAAGAGTTCGAGGGTTCCTGCTGTCTCACTGGTAGCAAGGAGGGTGCGTTTTTCCTTTTCTTCTTTTTCTGTACCTCTTCCCACCCCTACCCCCAGACTTAAAAGTTCACTATGTTTGACTTCATAAATTGAAGAATTTGTTTTTCTCCTGGCTGATTGATTTGGGATGTAAAAGGCCATCAGCATCTGCTTTCTGCCCTGGTTACGCCCTCAGCCCCCTTCCCTCCTGTACATGCATATGTGGAATAGAAGGAAGAGTGTAATTAAGCTTTTCAGTGCTCTTCTGAGTGGTCCAAGGATGACATGCTCCAAAGTCATCTTGGGGGTGGGGCGGAACACCACAAAATGCAGATTCCCTGGCCCCTCGCTGAGCTTAGTAAACAGAATTTCACAGGCGGAGCCTGGAAATCCACATTTTTAGCAAGCTGAAGCTTGAGAACCACTGTTTTGCATGCTCCTAGTGTGGATCTTTAAGATGATCTGTTGAAAACCTTAGATGCCAGCCCTTTGCTCAACAGTGGCCTCTGGAGATGAAGTCGGGAAGTTCAGGGTTTTGCTGAGTAGCAGGGGCACAGAAAGGAACTTTCCCCATGCAGACGCACTGCTTCCCGATTCTAGTCAGACATCTTGTTGTCTTGTCCAGTATCTCTCCATCATATCCGGGCCTCAGCTCAGTGCTGCAGAACAGCTCTCTGAGAACCCACTATTGCATGTGCTCTCCTAGGAGAGGACTATTATAAATCAGCTGACACTTGGAAGGTGCTTTCAGTGACAGATCTCTTTCACTAGTGTTTTATCTTACTTGATCCTCACTAGAGTGCCCTGAGGCAAGTAGTATTAAAATCCCCATTTTACAGATAGAGGTTGAGGCTCGGTGACATTTGGTAGCCAAAATCACAGGGTCTGAACCCCTGTTTTCTGACTTAAAACTCCCACCATTTCCCCCATGCACTGGACAGCCTCATATTAGTGATGTCTCACATTCCAAAGGTGACCAGGGTTAGTAGTGAAGAGGCAGCCGTGGTTACTTGGCAGCACCTGGGGAGCTTGGGCACCCTCATTAGAAACAGACTCCTTGTCTCAAAATAGGAAAAGCCCAAAAGATCCTTCAGACATGGCTTGCCTCACTCCTTCCAGGCAGACCAGAATGTTAGGACCACAGTCATAACTGGAATTGACTACATATTTATTACTGCAGGTAAGCCCAGACAGACGAAAATAATTTCAGTTGTATTATTCTCAAGTATGAAGAAGTCATTGCTCTTCTCTTATGTGTACACTCATGAGTATATTTAGTATTTGATCCCTTCCAGTGCTATAAAAATGAAAGTTCTGCACTTTCTATATATTTTTAACATGTTCAGCATGGATACAAACTTAGAATTACAGTTATTGACTGATATTTACCAAAGATTTAAAAACATATACTTGCAGGATCTTAAAAAAGTTGTCCATGTACCAAATTGGACGGAACTACTATAATCCTTCAGAGCCGGTGGAAATTCCCCAGCACAAGTAGGTTTATTTATATTTTCTGTTACTTTGAAATTGTTATAATGTAAGCAACATAATTTATAATGCAATATTATACCATTATGACTCCTATGAGAGACTGTGATACGAAATGTAATGGATTTTTTTTTAATTTTCAAGTTTTTTAATAGAATGGCAGATGTGAATGTGAAGCTAGCAGCCTGTTTTCTTATATTAATGTTCTGATGCTTATCATAAATCCTAAGAGGAATTCAGAAACTGAAAGTTCTGTGTATAACAAGTAATAATGAAAGCAGAGTAAGCTATTATGTTATAGCACATAGTTTTCTTGTTGAAAGGAAGTTAGCAGAGCCAGGGTGGCTGACATGAAATCACTGGGGAAGCAGATGTCAGACAGAGAAGCCAACCACACTATCCTCGTGAAGGATAGATTGTTATGAACACTGGCAGAATTTTCACACAAATGTGGGAACTGGATGCTGGAGAGGAAGTCGTCAGCTATGTATTGCACTGGTTGTTACTCAGCTCTCCAAAATATTGTGGTCAAATTAAAGGCAGAGAAGCAATGGGTAGCCCAAAGACAGATACACAGGCAGAGGGAGAAGTGCATCAAAGATAAAAAATAGGGGTGGGGTGTTTGGCCTTCTGCCAGGTGGAGGAAAAATGATAGTATTTCCATATGTCCATTCATTGTGTCAGAGTGGACTCTGTGAAGCATCCCGTTTCTAATACACCTGGATTAGAAATTCTCATAGGTCCAGTGTTGTGCTAAACTGCAGTAGGTGCTCAACGCATGTTTGTACTGAAGGCTGGTTTACTATCACAGTCAGTTAAGTCCACAAAATATAAACTGGAATGGTTTTAAAAAATATTTATCTATTTTTTCATGTAATTTCTGTAATATTGTATTCAAGACCTTTCAGTCTATATGGAAAGGACTGTGCTCCAGTTTCTCTTGTTTATCTGTACGTGATATCACTTCTGTATTTCTTAATCACATTGTTAAATCTATCCACTACCTTCACCTTTGCATCAGTGTGCTTTTCTGAACTGAGATGTTTTCATGCTGGGATAGGTCACCCCATAAACTTCTTTTTCTTACAGCTGTGGTTCTCAACCAAGGGCATTTTTGCCCCCTGGGGGACATTTGACATTGTCTGGAGACATTTTTGGTTGTCACAGCTGGGGGGCTGCTACTGGCATCTAGTGGGTAGAGGCTAGGGATACTGCTAATCATCCTTCAATGCACAGAACAGCCCCTAACAAAGAATTAACCAGTCCAAAATGTCAGTAGTGCCAAGTTTGAGAAACTCTGCTTTATGAGAATATGTTTTATCCTAAATATGTTTAAAGACACCCCAGCTGAAAATAACCAGTCAGCAACAGGAAGAAATCAGACTAAAGAAAAAAATTATAAAATCTAGAGGATTAGAATTTTAAAAATCACCATTTAAAAATGTTTATTGTTTTACTGTTGTAACATTTAAAATACTCATTTTTTATTTTTTATTCGTTCATAAAGATTATCCCTTTGGCCTGGGTTTGCGATTTCCATATCACAGTTTGAAAGCAGGCTCCTGTTTAGTGCTAATGTGAGTTATAAAGTCCTCCGGAATGAGACTGTCCTGGAATTCATGACTGACCTCTACCACAAAACTGGTGTGTCCTGCTTCACTGAGACATGTGAGAAACAACTGATGGGGCTCATTGTCCTGACAAGGTAAAAGCCTGTATCTAAATACATTTTCTGAGAATGAATTATGTATGGTATTTGGGAACAGGAATAGCATTGGAGCATTGGCCAGAGCACAGATCCGATCAATTGACTCACCTGGTAGAAGAGCTGCCTGTTCTCGGTTGTCTGGAGTTCAGACTTCCTAACGTGTGTCTGACTGTCCACAAGCTGACATGGTCCTGAATGACCTGTTGCTGTACCCTCCCCTCCCCCACTCCCTGTACTAACCCCCAACAGTGTGCATTTTGCTGCTTCAGTGCCTCTGTCTGGATTCCCCACCCCCAATTTTTTTTCTTTTTAAAAAATATTAATTAATTAATTTCATCTCTAATTTTAATTTTATTTTATTTTGTCAATATACAGTGTGGTTGATTATTGTGGCCCATTATCGAATCCTCCCTCCCTCCTCCCGCTCCCCCCTCCCTCCTAACAACCTCATATCTGTTCGCTTGTCATAACAACTTCAAGGAATTATAATTGGTGTGTTTTCTTCCCCTCCCCCCGCCGCCCCAGGTTTTTGTGTGTTTATTTATTTATTTTTAGCTCCCACAAATAAGTGAGAACATGTGGTATTTCTCTTTCTGTGCTTGACTCGTTTCACTTAATATAATTCTCTCTAGGTCCATCCATGTTGCTGCAAATGGCAGTATTTCATTCTTTTTTATAGCTGAGTAGTATTCCATTGTGTAGATATACCACAGTCATATCCACTCATCTGATGATGGACACTTGGGCTGGTTCCAACTCTTAGCTATTGTAAATAGTGCTGCAACCCCAACCCAAATTCTGCCTTTTAAATTTTGACCTCCATAAAGCCCAGCTCCAGTGTCACTACTTTTCTGACACCTCCACGTGCCCACTCAGATGGAATTATTCAGCTCCCTCCACTGGGCTGCTCCCATAGCACTTTGCTTATAGCCAGGTCTTTATGGCCGTTTGTCCATTTTATTATGTTATAGGACAACACCAGAGGTCCATGTCTTACCTTCTCTATAAGATTCTGAGGTCTTTTAGTCTGAGACCATGTTTTACCTCTTTGCAAACCTCTAGGTTTGTCTATATATAATTTTCCCTCAGTGCATATTGAACTGAATTAAGCATCAGCAGATTAGATGACTTCCTGAGTACTAAAAAGCTCACCAAATACTGCTGCTAGTCCAGGATACTTCTTTTAGGGGACATGCTATCCTTCTCAAAGTCAGGCTTGGAATTTCCACTTGGAGTTGTTTGTCTGGGTTACGTAGCAGAGAGGTGGGATGAGAAGGCTGCCCTCTCATCCTCCTGTCCTGATTTTGGTGGATTAGTTTATCGCATCCTTCAAAGTCACTTTGCAGGGAACCAAGAGTTCTGGAAAAACCTGTCCCAAGGTTGGGGCAGCACAAGAGAACATTCCAGGCTACACAGTGCTGAAGGGCAGAAGGGGCTTAGAATGATCTTAGCTGACCTGTTCTGCAGTTTTGCCCAGGGCCAGCCCTAGATGGGAGGTTGAGTAGGATACAAGAATTCCGGGGTTGATTAGCCTGCTTTTTATCAGAAGGACTACCTAGGACTTCAAAAACTGAGTGACACGAGAAGCTGATGGGAAAGTTTTGAGTAATGCTTTGGCCTTTGAACACTTAAGAATGATTTACCCGAAGTAAGAGTGTCTACAGTGAGAAAAACAGATGGTGGTCTAGTGACTTTCCCTTGGGGTTTGTTGGAATATGGAGATCTTCCTGTATACTGAAGAATTAATTACTGCTCTTCTCAGATAAGAGCTGATCACTAAAAAAAAAAAAAAAAGTGAATATTCTTGTGTTACTATCTCGTAATTTCTGATACTCAGTAGTTTATCTTTACTTTGAATTAAAAGTGTGGTGAAGTAGCTGTTTATCTTAGATGATTTGGAAAAAAAAATTTTTTTTTTTTTTGGCATCTGGCCAGTTTGGGGATCCAAACCCTTGACCTTGGTGTTATCAGCACCGGCCAACCCCTGGAAAAAATTTTTAAAAGACTTCTTGCATTTGCTAGATACAATAACAAAACCTATCGCATTGATGACATTGACTGGTCAGTGAGGCCCACGCATACCTTTAAGAAGCGGGACGGCACTGAGATCACCTATGTGGATTATTACGAGCAGGTAGGACAGTTTTTTCTTTATTCTCATCTCCTTTTCTTTTAGCTCAGAGAAGTCTCCCTTTTCCTTTCCAAGTCCAACAGATCCCCAGGAAGGTCAGGCTCAATCCGTCTCCTACCTACTTCTCTGACTTGTCTCTTCCCCCCACATCCCTGTCTCCTCCTGACCTTCATCCTTTCTCCTGCTTCCATCTTCCTGGACTCTGAGTAATTTCCCTTAAAATTGTATCTGATTGTGTCACTTCCAAGCTTAAAACATTTCTGTGGTTCCTTATTGCCTTAGGAGCCAAATATAAGCTCCTTTGCAGAGTTTCCAAGGCCTTTTAAGATCTGACTTTCAAGCCCATCTCTTACCACTTTCCCATTCCCTTCCATATATGCTCTGTTGTACTTGACTTTTGTGGTTCCTTGACACAGTTTCTCCCTGTACATTTTTACATCCGTTGTCTCCTCTTCCTGGATACCTATTCATAGCCAGACACACACGAAACACCCTTCCATACTCAGCTCAGCAGTCAACTCTCCAGGGAGCCCCATGGCACTCTTGCCAGGAGGGGCTCCCCTCCCTGCACTTAGCTGCATCAGATCATCACAGGCACGACATGAATGGGGTGGTCCTCCTCCTAGACCTTGAGCTCTTGGGGATGTGCCTTGAACTCTTTATTTCTGGATACCCAAATCTAACACAGTTCTTTGCATGTAGTAGATAAGAAACATTTTTAAATTAATTATTTTTTTAACATTTACTTGTACATATGTGTGGGGCACAGTGTGTTGTTGCAATACATGCATGTACTGCACAAGGATTCACTTAGGGTAGATAGCATAGTTTTGTACCCATTAGTCCACCACTTCTCCGCTCCTCTCCTTTCCCCTCCCAGGAAACATTTATTGATGGAATTTTCTGCTGCTTCTGAATGCCCGATTCACATTGATCACAATTACCCTGCCTACCACTTTCCGTGTTCAATTCCTTTCAGAGGTGCCTTCTCTTTAATGTATGTTCATACATTAAATTCAGGTCTCCAAAATCTCACAGATGTCTTAAAAAACAAACAAAACCCAAAAACTCTGCTTTGGTCATTCTACACCTTCAGGAAAAGCTCTCTTTTTCTCTTTAGCTAACTTTAGAAAGTCATCTACACCAGCTCTAAGCACCTCTTTACTTCAGTCTGGTATCTATGGAAATAATGCTATAAAGGTCAAATTCAGCTACTGTTCTAACTAAGGGGCTTTCCATAGCGTTTGACACCTGTGACCACTCCCACCTGCCTGACCTGCTCCGTTCCCTCCTGCCACACATCTCCTGTGCTTCTCCACTAAGTTTCAGGGTGTTCCATCTCAGCCTCCTTCGATGTTTTCCTCCTTCCTTCCCCCCAAATGAACCATTATTCACCATGACTCTCTCATCCTCGTATAGGATCTTTTCTTTGTATTTTGTGACTGCTCAAATATACTATTTTTGCCTTGCTCTCATTCCCAAGTTACATATTCATCCCCATTTTCAGAACATATTTGCATGAATATCCTACAGGCATCTCAAACCAACTTAATTCAAACTGACTTCATTGTCTTTCCCATTCTTGTTTCTCCTTGGGAATTCTGCAGCTCCGTTAGGAATCATTTTTCTTTCTTCCTCTTCTTCACCACCACCACCCCCCCCCGCCCTCATTCAGTTGTCACCAACGTGAATTCTGCCCCCCTTTATCCTTGAATTCCCTCCGGGACCCCTCCCCTCCTCCCCAGCCCTGTTCCTGCTTTATTAAGGCAGGACCTGGCATCAGTTCCCCTCTGGGGTGGGTGTTGCAGTCACTCTCTACGGTCTCCTCGCCCCAGCTGTGTCCTCACAGTCATCCATCATTCTCACTTCCACCAGAGAGATCTTTCTGAAGCACTGCCCAGAAACGTGGTTAAGAGCAGAAGCTCTGGAATGAGATGGCCCTGGCTCTAGCTGCGTCACTTTGGGCAAATCACTAAACCCGGAGTGTCGTCTGTAAAGGGAATCGATCTGTCTACCTTAATGGTGTAGTGTAAACACTGAACACGATTAACAGTGCATGCAGAACATTTGGCCTGGTGCCTGCACGTTGTGAGCACCAGATACACAGTGGAGACCCTGCCTTCCTTTTCTGTCCTCCCCTTCTTCATCTCTAGCATCACACAGTTTGACCCCATCCCACCCTTTAGCCTCACATTCCTCGCCATCCCTGTTGTGCACCCCAAGGTGTTATCGCTCCCCCACCTCCCTTTCCCCACACTCTCTCCACTCCCCATGTACACTCACTAGTCACTGCACGGTCCTTCGTCTTTGCACATGTGCACTACACATCTGCATAAAGCCACACTGTACCTTTCTCCTTCCCCACTAGGTCAAGTCTTACCTTCAGGGTCAAGTGTCATCTCATTTGTGAAGTCCTCTCTGACTTTGCTTTCTGTTACACACACACAAGAGCTAGCTGTTCTCTTCTCTGAGACACTATGCCATGCACCACATTGCTTCTAGAGCACATTTTCCTCTATGTGGCTGGCTAATCGACACATAGTACCTAGCCAAGCATCTTGTGCATAAAATGTGCTCTGTGTTTGTTTATTAGATCCACAGTTTGTTATACATTTGGGTTTCTTTTCTGCATCATTAAATTTGAACAGATGTATTTTAAGACCTGTGTCATTCTGGAAAGGGAATCATGGTTAAAAATCCCACTCACTTTTTCATAATGAGTTGTGGTTCCCTGCATATATATTGCAATTAGGCAGAAAAAGAAACAAAATTGTGTCAACTTCTAGAATGTTCTCTCTGTCCTGGAAAAGGAACGCTAAATTATTGTATAGTCAGTTTTCAAAGTGGAAGGCATCCTGATACTGTCCTTTATATTTCTCTATTTTATCCTATGATAAAAAATATTTTTAAGTGCTAAGAAAACTAAGGCAAGGGAGTGGGTAAATTCACTTTATGACAGTAGCTTAGGGGGCGGAGTTCTTGGCGGCCATGCTCCAGCTTGATAGAATTCCCTCTTCCTGCAACATGCCCCAGCTTTGCTTGAGCTGATGCCTGGGACTCTTCATACTCTCACATTATCTTCAGGATCTCTCTGGGACTCTACTGCCTTCATGAAGCCTTCCCTGACTTACCAGGTACAGGGACCCAGTGAGTGGTATTACACTGAGTGGTGTAAAAAGTAGAGTTTCCTGAGTGTTAAGGGATAAATCCTAGCTGTGCTAATTTCTACTTATGGAGCCTTGGGAATGTTATTTATTTTCTCATCGTTTTCCTTTATCTGTGAAGGGGACAAGGATGGCATCTATCTCATAGATGTTGTTAAGATGAAATGAGGTAAAATGAAAGTGCTTAGCATATCATTATTATTATTTGTACTTCTCCACCCTGCTTTATAGATAATGCAGGTACGTGTTAAAGCAGGGAATATGTCTCTTTGTAACCACTGCAGTTCCTGGAACATCGTAAGCATACTGTATGTACTGAAATAATGAAGTCGTGTAAAATCTCTCTTTTGATAAAGGATTCTCTAAGCTTTTTAGCCACAGCATTAGCTGCAGTTGCCACTTTAAAATGTGATTCCTGAATTGTTTTATATTTTTGACTAAAAGTCCTTATTGAAATGGAGAAATGCTCACATCTTACTTCCTGTTATAATTGTTGATGTCAGCATCACATAGTGCCCAAGCATATTGTAAATTATAATTCCAGTTGTTATGTCATTAGTATTGAGTAAATAGTACTAGAAATAAGTGTTAATTGGAATTTTTGCCATGCCATTGGAAATGAACTTTTGGCAAGGCAAGAATGTTGAAATTCAAGTTGAGGAAAGGAAAGGAAATGGGATATGAAGTAACAATTGGTGAGGACTTGTTGGAAACCAGACACCATGCTAGTGGTTGACATACAATGGCCCCAAACTGGTCATACATGAGGAAGTCACTTACCCCAGTGTCACAGTCCAAGCAAGTAGAAGAGCTGGGGATAAAATTCATATTTGTCAGACTTCAGACCTGCTTCCCTGTAACATCATATTATCCTGGAAGATAAGGACAGTTATGCTCTTTTGGCAAATCTGAGGTTGACTCAGTATAACCCTCCCTCCACCTTGTGTGTAGATATTTTCAAAATGAATATAGATATTTAGAACCAGTTAGTTAAGCGTGGCACAGTCTGCCTCAGTCATCAATAATGGAAATGCTGGCTTCAAGTCATCCCCAGTGGGGTCGATCGAATGATGTAGAACTGGTTGGAGACTATTCTGAATCTCCATGAAATCCAGAGAGAGCAGAGAAATGATTTTTTTAAATGGTGTTGCATTATAAAAGATAATAGTTAAAATAATAAAACTGGACCTCAGATACAAAAGAAAGTAGAAATGAGTAGTTAACCATGGGATGTTTTTTTCCTTCTCTGGAAAGATTTGCTTATATATCCATTTTGGGATTACGTTGTTGCTTATAAACAAGGGTGCATATCTTGCTGTGTTTCCATGTTAACTTTACCGTCATTAATCTTGCATTTTATAGCAATACAATATTACTTTGTCTGACCTAAATCAGCCATTGCTTGTTAGTCTGTTGAAAAGTAAGAGAAATGACAACACTGAGGCTCGGATTGCCCACCTGATACCTGAGCTCTGCTTCCTAACAGGTAATGTTTATGTTTTATAACTCTGTCAGGTACCTGATCATAGGCTCCTACTACTTAGCAGTGGGCAGAATCTCTTTAAAGTAGCTGAGTGCCAGAGCATTAATTAAACCCATGGAGGATGGGCCCTTTAAGAAATTTATTCAATAGTAGATACAAGTGAGAGGATAGAGAGCCCTCTGGAATCTATTTCCTTTGTCTCCTGTATTCCATTTGTTACTTTGAGGTAAAATAGACCCCCAGATACTATCCTAAGACCATGCTGCTCTTTGCCATTGTTTGAACTTTGCTAGTATAGGAAGCAATGTGACTTTGATTTTCTTCAGGTATATTGTTAGACTAGTGCCAAAATGATCCTTTTTTTTCTTTTTGCATGAGCTTCCAGCAGGTAATCCTCATTATGCAATAGAATCTGAATAACCATCTCGAGTACTTTTAATGATGTTCATTCGATTAATAGGGTGAGACTAAGAAGGGGGTAACTTTCTACTTTTTACATTTGTGCATTGTTTGAATCAGTTATGATGCATATATGTTTATTTTGCAATTAGAAAAATTAAAAAGGATATAATCCTTGAAGGAAGGGGTGCTCATCCTTAGTGGGATTCTAATATTGTAGATCTGCACAACCCAATATGATAGCCACTAACCATGTAGGTTTATTGAACACTTGAAATGTGACTATCTTGCCTGAAAGACTGAATGAAGATGTGCTGTAAGTTGTAAAGTACAGGCCAGATTTCAAAGGCTTAGTATGGAAAAAAATGGAAACTGCCTCATTAATAAATTTTTTATATTGATTACATGTTGAAATGAAATGAAAATATGTTGGATATATTGGGCTAAAAAATCTATTTGAAGTAATTTCATCTGTTTGTTTTTGGCTTTTTGTGTGTGTGTTGCTACTAGAAAATTTAGAATGATGTGTGGCTTTCATTTCTATCGAACAGTGCTATCCAGATGGTGAATCTGATTCAGCTGAAGTGAAAAGTTTAAACTGTGCCTGAGATGGGTTGAGGTTATGTTGAATATGTTCATCTTTTCACTTTATTTTTGTTTGCATTTAATAGGGCTGACTAGCCAAGCAACCTCTGATTTCCAGCTCATGAAGGCTGTGGCTGATGAAACACGTATCAGTCCTTTGGGCCAGCAGCAGCGTCTGGCCAGGCTTGCTGACAGCATCCAGAGGTAGGTACTGCGATGCCTTTCTGAGGCCACGTGTATCTTGCCTAAGGCTGAGTGTGTAGAATTGAATGAACTACATAACGCTTCATTCCACGATGAAAATGTCTCGTGCTTGTTGATTCAGAGCAAGGCACTTTTGAATGGTGCTGTCCAGAGCCCAGAGTCCATCTGAGATGGCTCAGGACGAGTGAGTTGCGGGAAGTGATCGGATACCACCTGCTGCAGCTGGACAGCTGTGCTTACATCTGTTTAATACATTGAGGTCTGGATAAAATTTTGAATGAATAAAAGGGTTATAATCTAAAAAACAAAACAAAACTCCAAATGAAACAAACAAAAACAACCAAAACACATACCGGGTCCCCAGTATTCATGGTCAGGAATGCTCAGATCTTAATATGGTGGCCTCTGTAGACTGACCTTTAGGAAAACCCCACTGTATATTCTTTAAACTTGAGATGCCTTTGTGCCCTCTGGTTCAGCCGATCTAATTCTTAGACTGTGTTTCTGCCCTCATTTATGACAGTTTGCTGTAACCTGTGATGGGAAAATTGACCTTTCCCTGATGCTCCCTTTTGACCTCCTAAAACTGTTCTGTCTGGTAATATAGCCCCATGTGGCTACTGGACACTTGAAATGTGCCTAGTGACACATCTTGAAATAACATTTTGGATATATTTGGTTAATTAATATATATTCTAAAAATTACTTCGTTTGTTACTTTTTACTTTTTTTAATGCACTATTAGAAAATTTAAAATTACACATGTGGCTTGCTTTATAATTCTCTTAGACCACATTGTTGTAGAATGATTGTTTTTCTTTAAAAATTTTTTTTGTAAGTAATACTAGCTTATGAGGAATTTGGAAATTTACATAAGAAAAAAGAACAAAGAATATTGTATACTTAGTAAATATTTGTTCAATGAATGAATCAATCAATTGAATGAATGGTATATGTTCTTTAAGATATTTGAAAATGCATGTAATCTTGTTCTTTTTAAGAAAATGGTGTAGTGCTATACATCATGTGTTGTAACTTGCTTTTTTCACTTAAAGGTTTTTCTTGAACATTTCCATTTGATAAATGTGCAACTCTAATATCATGCTCGTGGTTTCATAGTTTTCCATGGCATGGATACACTTTGCCATTTATTCTGGACATCCCCCAGAATTATGTCTACTTGAGAAGAGTTTCCTGTTTCATTCTCCTTATACTGGGCTGTGGATTAGTCTTCCTGTCACATCTACCTGCCACCTTTCAGTAATGCCACATACCTCACCTCATTTCCTGACCAATGACGGCCTCACCCATCTCCTCTTAGGCAGACAGTATCTGAAGCAAAATAATTAATTCAAGGGATTCAGTGTGACCAGACAAGACATAACCTTAATAGATGAAAATAATGAGCTGTTGCATAGAGGCAGTGGTAAAAAGGTTTGAGCTCCCCTAAAGAACGAGGCAGAGCTTTAATAGGGAAACAGAAGTGTGGATCTCATTAGTCTTCTGTGAGTTTCTGGCTTATTATGCTCTGGGTTCTACCTAGGAGCCAGGAGACAGTCAATGTAGTTGCTGTTCTCAAGGGGTTTATGGCTCAGTAGAAATTACCATATATCGTAATCAATGAGATAAACTATGATTATTAAATTATAAACTTAAAGTATTATGTAAGTATAAAGTACTGTTATTATTACTAATACTAATATTCTCATACTCTTCCTACTATCTTGTCCATCCTATGAATCTTCTGAAGCTTAAATCCTTATGTTCCTTTCCTTTATCATCTATCCACTCCCAAGCTAACAAATTCAAATATTCCCAGAAGACATCTCCACATCCACAGCTCCAAAATATCTTATTAACAAATTTCTCATTAGGAATGATAATATCCCATATTTACTGAGAACATAGCATGTGCCAGGCATTGTGTAACTTTCCATATATTGTCATATATAATCTTTACATCAACCCTGTGAAGTAGCTACTTTTATTATCCCTACCTTTTGCTAGTAAGGAAACTAAGGCTTTAAAAGATTTAATAGTTTGTTTAATAGTCACATTCAAGGATACTTCAGAACATTCATGGAAAAATAGAATTAAAAGGTAATGGAAATTTTTCCATGAACTTTTTGAAGGCCCCTCGTATTTTTAAAGGGTAGAGCTAGGAGTCAACCCCAGGTCTTTCTGGTGGAAGTCAGATTTTTCTAACCAGTGTGCACACCCACTCCTGCCCGGAAGCCCTTTCCCATCCTTTCATGTCTCTGGTGGGCATGGTTATCCTGTAATTCTTTTGAGCAGGGGAAAAAATGGCAGATAGAAACAGAAGCCAGGAATTCTAAAGACACAAAATCAGACCCTGAATATTCAGTAAGTTAAAAATATATCTCCAATGATTAAAATTCTTTAGAAAGTAAGCACTTTAATGATTTAAAACAACTCTGTCAACAGAAACAAGGATGCACATTTCGAGCTAGAGAACTGGGGGCTGCATTTTGGAGGCCAAATGTCTCTGACTGGACGGGTTGTGCCTTCAGAAAAAATATTTCTGCAAGACCACGTAGTAAGTGCTCTGATTTTGTTTTCATCTAAAAGTATTTACTTGAATATGTGTTAAGTTTGATCATTTGCCACAGTGACTAGTGGGCTTGGAATATTCGTCTAGTTTCTCCATGGCCACATCCCTGTCCTCTCTTTGTCCTGAGATTTTAGGTCCCCTCTAATTTCCTTTTCAGTCTGAATTTACTTGCATGAACTTAATGTCATCCAGCAGATACAATTTAGGTCAATTAGAAAATGATATTTCAAACCATGGCAATTAAAACATACCTACCTATTATTAATAGGTATTGTCCTACTCTTAAGTGACTTTGAAGAAAAAAGACATAGTTACCTGAGAAAATTCTATTAACTGGTAAAGGTGAATTCTAATAGACTATGTTTCTGGATACCAGAGTTGTTTTTTTTAGTTTCTGTGTCAGTTGTGTCTGTTAATCTTTCAAAGTAAAATGCCACACAGTTGGTATAAAAATGAAGAAATTTGCACAGAACTCATCCCCAGAAATAGCACTTGGGAGAGAGACATTCTGAAACCTGAAGAGACAAATCATTGCCACTTCCAGGCTTCAGTTGAAGAAATGAAGCAATTTTATGCAAAAATTGTGCATTATCTTTCAGCTTTTCTCCTCTGTTTTGCCCATTTTTTTAAACCAGTTAACATTTCGCTTCATATTTGAAGGCTCTCTTTATTTGGTATAGTAAACCAACATGTTTAAACTAATATAGCCGAGCAACAAATGGAGGAGCTGGGGAAAGAAAAGAAAAAAAACAAAACAAAGCTTTAAAAAGTACTAACATGTACCCCACGTAGGGTCTTGGTCAGGGGTTAGTAAAGAGAAGCTCAGTTTCAGATCCATGTGTGAAGCAGGACTTAAGATACTTAAAATGATCCATCTCATCTTCTCTATGAGTAAAGTCATACTTATCAGAGCTTTTTTTTTTCTTCTTTGCATTTTTTAGTGTGGAAATAGGTCTCCATAGGAGAAAGGTAATTAAAACGGGAGAATATGCCCCCTAGACGTAGTGGATGGCTAGAGGCTACTATGTCACTGACTGCCTGGCTGATTCTGCTTTTCTGAAATTAAATTCTAGGAACTGAGTAAACTAAAGGTTCATTGACCTCAGGGTGTGCCTGGGCACATTGTCCTGGGTCTGCTCCCAGCCTCCATATGATGACAGCAGGTAGAAATGTTGTGAGCAAGAGGGCTGTGGCTTTCCTCATACCGCAAAGGAGAGAAATGAACATTGACTACAGATAGAACTGTCTAGGCAAGGCTAGCCCTTTCCCTTTGTTCTCGGGCTGAGGTCTACTCCTGGAGCTGAGTCCCTGCCTGCCACCTAATGGGAAGACATCATGAAGATGGCTGGAAGCCAGGGTGCTTGAGAGAAAGTGCCCTGGCTCCAGTATCAGGAGACCAGCTTTCTAAACCTGTCACTGCTGTCAACTGGCTCCATAACTCAATCTGTAGAATAAGGGGACTGGATTGCTTCCTAAACATTAGTGTGCAACTTGTTAACATGCAGATTCTGATTCAGTGTGTCTGGGGCCCAGGACTGTGCATTTCTCTAACAAGCTCCCAGGAGATGCTCATGCTGCTGGCCCACAAGACAACACTTTGAGTAGCAAGGAATTAGATGACAATGTGATCCTGTTATCGCCAGACCCTTGCCCTCTTGCATTAAACAAATGACTCAAAAGTCCAGAAGTTGGTGGAAGGTTTAGAAGGTTTATTCAGATAACCGGCACCTGGAGAATGACCAGGCTAAAATCATCCCAATTTCTGATACCTGTTCTGGGGTTTAAAAAGGGAAAGAGGCAGAAGATGAGGTAAGGGTCTTTGTTCTGAAGGAAAAGTAGGGGGGATCTGGGAGCAGCAGATAGTCTGAGTCAAATGTCAGAGTCCCATGATGGATTGGAAACTTCAGCGTCACAGAGTCTGGGTCAGCTTCAGGTCCTTGATGTTACCTTGAGGTTGGAGTCTATCTCCTAGGGAGAGGTCAAGGATAATAACCTTAGTCAAACATCGTAAAAATACCTAACTTGGGCTTCTAATTAACATGGATGCAGTTTTCCTTTAAGAGGGGGAGTTTACAACCAGCTAGGTTGTCTTGCCTCTCTCTTGTATCTCCTCTTGTTTGCAGCTGATTAGAGAGGTAAGAAAAATAAGAAACTTACTTTCAGTTCTTAATTGTAGGTGTACAACCTCTGAAGTAAATCGACATAAGAGGGGGTGATTTCTTCTCTGGGCAGACTCTCTGCTAACCTCAAGGAACTGATGATTATCAGTTCCCAAGTTAAGGGTGCTGGCTGAAACATTCTGCTTGGTCTTAGTTAACCCCAAAGATGGTTGTTTTTCTGGCTAAGGTCCCTTTCAGTCCCTCTTAATTCTAAAAGTGGGTCTTCCCAGCCCACCATTAGATTACAGTCCGTGGATATAAGCAGAGGGCTGAGGACCAGGCTAAAGTCTCTCCTCTTTTTAGTGCAGGGAGCTTGTTGTTCCTGGTCACGTGGAGAACCTTCAGAGAGTGAGAAAGGAGCCTGCACCCTGGCCTTATCTTTGCGTCTAGATGTAGCTACTCCTTGCATCTAATGTATAGTCTTAACTGCCCGGTAGGGCTTAGAGTATCAGTAATCATTGTTTTCTATCTGAGATATCTAGATGCCCTAAAGCAAAGAGATCAAACTGGACAGCCTGCTTTCCTGAGCTATTTGTAATAAAGGTCATAGATTTTTAGAGCTGGAGGGGAACTGCAGAGATCTTTGAATGAGATGCCATTCTTTGCACGAAGAGGACACCCCGAGGTCTTACCCAAGGTTCTGCAGCCAGTGCTTGGCAGACTGGGATGATGTCCCGATGCCTGCACTCCCAAAAAGCACCTGTATTCTGTTCAGATATGCAGTGCTTACATCTGTGTTTTAAGACTGTGAACAGCAAACTGCACTAAATAGTTCTGTGTGACAAACATTGGCCATCTTCACACTATCTTTATTTAATTTGCTCTCAGAATAAGTTTGCTAAATTCTTTCATGATCATTATTTTTCTCAGTGTCAACCGGTGTCTGCTGCTGATTGGTCCAAGGATATACGAACTTGCAAGATTTTAAGTGTGCAGCCTTTGAATAAATGGTTGGTTTTTTGTAGTAACAGAACCGAAAATGGGACTGAAAGCTTTGTGAACTGCTTGAAAAGAGTTGGAAGTTCCATGGGATTTAACGTGAGCTACCCCAAAATGTGAGAATATACTGAATTTCTTTTCATATATGAATTTGGTTTGGTTGGAATTTAGGAAATAATGACTGACATATCTACAAAATCTTCTTTATCTCAGTAAGATTTCCTAATAAGAGTATGAAGTGCAAGAAAATAGTCATAAGTAGGTTGATTTTGTAATGAGTAAATTTTTTATATAAAGTTAAAATATAATTTATGTTGGTCTTTGTAAAACTTTGTTTTCATAGTTATTCTTAATCTCATTACCTCAAAATTTTTTCAGTACTAGTTGGGATGTAAATCCTTAAGTTCATATATTGCCTTCTCAATTCTTTTTCTTCTTTTATATCGGTTCTTTACAAAACTTAACAGCAAATAGGATATTAAAATGTAAAAGTTGCATTTCCTGACTTATTTGATAGACTTTATGGTTTAGAATTTAATGTAAAAATAGATCTAAAATAAGCTTTTCTGATACTGTTACTGTAGCATAAGATTAGTTATTTAGATAGTTTTATGATAAAATTAGTCATTTATTTTATTCTTTGAACATTTATTAAGTACTACTCTGTGCTAGATATTATGCCAGTTGCTGGGGATGAGAAAGAGAAAGAAATCGCTTTAATTTAGTAAGCGATACATACATACATGATCACACTCAAAACTGAATATTTTGCATTAGAAAAGTCATAAAGTTGGTCGTGCTTCATTTTACTGAACTTGGTATGCTTCGAAAAGATCATCATATCAGCTTCTTTTTCTTTGTTACAGTGGAGGTGCAAATGTCCTAATTGGCAGGGTGGGAAATTATTAATTAAACACACTGTTGCTAATTAATTACATCAGCAGCACAAGCATTGTTGAGAACCATAGTCACTTCCAAAGTCTTCTTTGTTTGGAATTCTCCTCTTACCAATTCTATTAACAAATCGCCTGGTTTGAGTTTCATGGCTCTAATTCCTCTTAACCCATGAGCTAATAAAGCAGGAAAAGATTATGAAAGAAGGCTGGGCTGGCTTCACAGACTCTTTCTCATGTGAATTCTGGGAACAAGCCCAAGCCCGGGTTCTGTCCATGGCCTGTTTTATTTGAAAGCCCATGTTTTATTCCATCCTTTTTCTTTCTCATGAAGCATCCATTTACCTGTTAGATTTATATGCATAGCTTCTCCATTTAAAACATTTGCCTGATGATTTTAGAAGGAGCGGACTGTAAGAGGGGCAGAGTTGGAGCACAAGAGTTTGAACAAGAAAAGTCAGAAGCATTTAGTTTTGAAAGGCTGCTGCCAGCCATTCACGTAGCTCTGTTAGAATCAGCAATCAGGAGTCAGTGGTTCTGCCACCTGCTGGGCAGTTTTTAAAGGTCACTGGGCATTGAGACAATCCAATTATAAACACATAAAAGAGGCTGATTCTATGTAAGGATACTAGATTTATAAATTCCTGTGTGGGGGAATTATTTCTGTAGCTTCCAGCCCCTAACATAATGTAGGCGCAGAACAGTTAATTGATAAATACTTGCTGATTGATTGATGGATTAAGGCTAGGTATTCCAGCTTCCAAACAAGCCACTATAAAGGAAGAAGAATTGTTTCGTCTGAATCATGAAGATTAGCTGAATATCTTGGTCTCATAAACCTGGTGATTCCTAAAACATTTATCTTAAAATTCCCGTAGGGATTGAGTATTGGAGAAATAGCAATCCTGCTTTAACTTGAATCGTGTTTCAGACGCTTGATATTATGAGACTTGTGATTTTAAAAGTTTACTTTCAACTCCACTTTGAAGAACAGAATTAATTGTAGGGATTCTGTACAATTTAGAAAATTTTATTTTCTACTGCACTATTTTTTATGCTAATAAAAATTATTTTAAAATATTTTTGGCATATCTTGTAGTGATAGAAACAATTTTAGACTCAAAAGATTTTCATTTTTCTCCAATGATTTTTTCCTATAATTACTAGTCTGTTATGAAAATCTATTTGTGCTAGTTCTAATGCCATATGACTATGTGCTACAAAGAAGGGAATTATATAGCTTCAAAATTAATCTTTTTATGTAGCATAAAAGTACAAGAAAACCCAGCTGCATTCTTTAGAGCTGTACAGCAACATGTTGATCCTGATGTTCAGTTGGTAAGTATAGGATACTGTTTGTTTTTTGATACGTAATTTAAATTTTTTCCTTACATCTACAGTCTTAGAAAGGATCTGAACATATTCTCCCATGATATGTTTATAAATTGCTCTGCATTTCCCCAAAGCACCCAAGAAAGTACTAATCTGTATATTTTAATCAGTATTTTATTTCCCTTTTATATTTCTAATATTGATTTTTAAATATTTTTGTTACCCCTTTATTAGCCTCTTGAATGTCTGCATATTTTTCAATTTACTAGGGGTGATCTTTTACTTGTTTTAAGAGAAATTGACTCCCACCTTATCCCATAAATGCTGGGGTAACCAGCATTCTCCCCAGTATTTCAGGGGATTCTTGGAGGGTTTAGATTTTTCTGAGTCCCCTATGGCCCCAAGTTCCCGCTTTCTTTGACTTCTTGCCTCCTTCTGTGTGGTTTGTCTTTTGTGCATGCCATTTTCTCCTGCACCACATCACCCTTTGGGACATCTGAAATTGCATCATTTCCCAAAGTTGTGCCTGCATGTGTGTGTAGCTGACTTTGCAGACTGTTTGGGACTATGGCATGATTACACCACATTCCAACATTCCAGACAAGTTAAAATGGACATCATTGTTCTTAAAATCTCTTAACCATTCCTATTTCCTGGAAATTTTTTCTCTTCTACTAGGCCCTTGCCTGCCTTGATGCTGCAGTGCTTTTTCTGTCTGTTCCATCCCCTCTTCTCTTCTCCCTAGCTCATTCCACCCAATTCCCAACATTCCTGTTCATATCTCATGCGAACTAGCTTAGCTATCTTTTTTTTTTTTTCTCTTTTGGCCAGACACAAAAAAATGGTCCAAAGGATGTTATATTAAACCAAGAAAATTCTCACCCTAAGAGTATTTAATTTTTACTTAAATAAAATCAAACTTATAGATGAGTTGCAAGAATAGTAGAAGGAACTCTTGTATATACTTGACCCAGAATTGCTAATTATCGATATTTTGCCATATTTGCATTATCATTTCCTATCTTTTATCCTGAACCGTTTGAGAGTAAGTTACAGACAAGATGCCCCATTACCCTTGAATACTTTAGTGTATTTCCTATAAACAAGATTATGCTCCTATAGAATCAAAGGACAACCATCAAAATCAGGAAACTATTCTTCATGTGTCCCACTAATATCCACTGTAGTAAAAGGATCTAACTTGTTGCACTTAGTTATCCTGTCTCTTTAATAGTTCCCTAGTTTTTCCTTGACTTTGATTACCTTCCAGTTTTGGAGGGTACAGGCCAGTCATTTTGTATAGATAATGTCCCCCAATTTGGATTTGTCCGATGTTTTCTCATGATTAAATTCATATACTGTGCTTTTGACAAGAGTTAAAATGATGCTGTGTTCTTACTACGTCCTACCAGCTGGTGCTTGGTTAATTAAAGTGCTATCTGCCGGATTTCTCCACTGTTAACTTACTCTTTTTCTCTTTGCAGTTAATTTTTTGTGTGTGTGTGTGTGTAGATACTTTGAGTGTATATAAATACCCTATTTCTCATCAAACTTTTACCCACTGGTCTTAGCATCCATTGATAATTCTTGCCTCAATCTGTTATCACTATGATGTCTATCAAATGGTGATTTTCTAATTCTGTCATTCCTTCTTTATTGATTAGGTGGCATAGGAATAACTTTCTCTTTTTCCCATTTCTTTGTTTGCTTGTTTATATCAGTATTGACTCATGAATTCCTATTTTATTTAATGGGTTATAATCCGTTACTATATTTATTTATTATTATTTATTTTGATGCTCAAATTGTCTCTCATTTTGCCAGTGGGAGCCTCATTCAAGCTGGATTCTGTGCCCTTTTCATATGTCCCCATCTTTCTTTGAACATTTCCTTACTTTCTGGCATCTTGTAGTTTTGCTTTCCAGTCCTGGAATCAGATATTGCTCCAAGGAGCCCTGATTCCTTTTGGTAGAGAAGGATGTTGCTGTTCCAGGCTTTCTCAATGGACAGAGCTAGGAAATATGCGTGTGTACCTATTTATGTATAAACACTTATATATATACACACACACATATATCTACAGTTGGCCCTCCATATCTGTGGGTTCCACATCTACAGATTCAACCAACTGCAGATTGAAAATATTTTTTAAAAAAAAATAATACAACAGTAAAAAAAATTTTTTAAAAACAGTATGACAGCTATTTACATAACGTTTACATTGTATTAGGTTTTATGAGTAATATAGAGATGATTTAGAATACATGGTAGGATTCGTAGGTTATGTGCAAATACTGTGCCTTTTTATATTAAGGGACTTGAGCATCCACGGTTGGTGTCTATAGGAGGTCCTGGAACCAATCCCACACAGATGCCGAGGGACAACTGTGTGTAGTTCTAACCCAATACACAGAAAAGCTTTCCCCTCTCCATATCTGTGCCTCCTTCTCTGGTAGTGAGGAACATGGCTCCTGTTTCCCTCCACGTATGTGCTGACTTCTCCATCCCTGGTGTGTAGCTGGTCTTGTTTGGTCCCATCTTCTCTCAGTCCTGTCCTCACTGGGCCACTGCCTTGTTCTGCTGCTTACCTTGCTTGGAACCAAACTCCTAGGATGGAAGGAAGGAAGGCCTCTATGAGGATTTTGCTGACAATTTAAAAATATTTTCCCCCACTTTATATAATTAAATGTAAATAATTTTAACTTTTGACATTATGATGTTAAACAGTCATTTTATTTTTGTTTTCTCATTATGAATATGCCCCCTTGGGGGCTTTTGAAGGTAGAGAATAAAAGGTGGGAAGGAGACGAGGGTAGTCCAGGAGGGGCCCTTCAGTGTGGGAAACACCTGATAAGTAGGAGTAGTTACAAAGATGGGTGGAATTAAAAATACTAGAGGACCTGAAGCTTCTTTATCCTTATGTTCCCTTCCCCATATCCTTATTCTCAACTCCCAGTAAGAAAAAAAAAAAAATGGGTTAGTTGGTTTGTTTCCTTTGTCCTGATTATCTGGTACCCAATGGGAAAAGTACCATCGTTTAAGCTAATTCTCCACTTCCCTTATCTTTGGGTGGGGTTGAGCAAGGGTCCAGTGAGAATGAGAGCTAGAAAGCCGTAGGCAAGAGCCACTGCAAACTGGGGTTGGGGAGGGGTTGCAGAGATAGCCAGAGAAGGAGCTGGGTGAGGAAGGAATTTGAGGGGACTAACAAATCAGGAGAGAAATGAGGAGGAAGGAAAAGCCAAGGGTGATGGGTAGGATTGGAGTGGAGCTTTGCAGACTGAGTGGCTGATGAAAAGGCATTTCAAGTGGCATTGATCAATTCACCCATGGTTTAAAGGCCATTTAAGAGAACTGTAGGCATGTTAATATTTGCTTCTTGGGAACTTAGGGCAAAAGATGTTTAAAGAGCCCATGTATTCATTTTTTCAAAAGCTACTTCTAAGCATAAGTAAATTGATTTTATCTTCTGCTGTCTTTTCCTTTTAGGTGATGTGCATTCTGCCTTCTGATCAGAACTATTATAATTCTATTAAAAAATATTTGAGCTGTGACTGCCCAGTCCCAAGCCAGTGTATCCTTGCTCGGACCTTGAATAAACAGGGGATGATGATGAGTATCGCCACCAGGGTCGCCATGCAAATGGCCTGCAAACTCGAAGGCGAGCTGTGGGCTGTGGAGATACCTGTGAGGACTCTGTCACGTTTTACCTTTCAGTAATCAATTAATTTTTTAAAAACAAAAGGAGATAACGAGGGGTCTTCAAAAAGTTCACGGAAAGATTTGTATTATCTTTTAATTCCATTTTCCCACAAACTTTTTGAAGTACCCTCATATTATCACATGATCCCAGAATTATTTGGTTTGTTTGTTTGTTGAGCTTTTACCCTGGGCTGTGGCATTCCACAGGGCACTGCAGGGATATCCAAAAGGTGAAATATGGTCACTGTTCTCAAAGAGCTTCTGTTAAGCTGCTAACTTAGAATGTATCATGACAGAGAATCCAGTTTGCCCTAGAACTGGAGGAACTTGACTTGGGTCTTCCCAGCTGCTATTTTAAAATCTGTGTTCCACAGCATCTGCTTTTACCTGCTTTCAGCAGGGTGCTCACTCTCAGAATAGCCTTGCACCTCGGATCGGGCCTCCCCAGAGATTGGAGAACTGGCATAGCCTGTGACCTGAACCTCCTAACTGTGGTGGGAACTGAGAAAGTCCTCTTCTCTTTCCTGAACTGAAGCCACCATGGGAGAAAGTGAGGAGAATGAGAAATGAGGGCATATTGCCCTTTCTCTTACATGCACATAACCAGAATGGGTGCGTTTACCCCTAGCACCCCCACCGGAGGTGCATAGCCAAGTGAGATCTCAAGAACGGGAATTGAATTCCTCTTCTTGTTTCATTGGACCAGAGGCAGGGGATAAATGGACTGACCTCTCTTCCAGAATCTCTTTAGCCACTGGTGCTCCTTGCCCACCCCCACAAAGGATGATGGCTATTTTAGACTATAGCAAGTCTTTTAAGCAAAGTATGTATTATATTCTTCCCTCCATCTTTAAGTCTCTCTGGTTTCTGGTTTAATAATCTGTGTCATCAGGATCTTGATCTCCCTGACACATAGCTTAACTTAAATAAGTTGGAAATTGGGGACAGTTTTTAAAAACTTCATATTAGAAAAAATTTAACACATCTCATTAAAAGATTTTATATCGATTATATGTTGAAATGCTGATTATATGTTGAAACATTTTGGATACATTATGTTAACTAAAACATTAAAATAAAAAACTGTTCATATTAAATCATTGTTTGGGGAAGTGATATCTCATCCATTAAATCATGACAAATTTAATTTTATAGTTAAAGTCCCTGATGGTGGTCGGTATTGATGTCTGTAAAGATGCATTCCGCAAGGAAGTGGTGGTGGTTGGATTTGTGGCCAGTGTTAACCCCAGAATCACCAGGTACCTTCAAAACTACCTAACGTATTCTTCAGTTAGTTAGACTATTAATTGTGATTTAACTGAAGAACATAACAGCAAGAAATAGTTTGTATTATTCACCTATATTTTAAACACCAATGCTTATGGTCATAAATTACACTTACATATAAAAATGTGATTGATGATGTTGGGGTAATATGTAGCCTCATTAAAAAACTTTTTATACATTCATTAGGACAAACTATTGTTTGTGTTCTAGTCATATTCTCCAAATGATGGATGTGCAGAAATTCTTGTACATTTATTTATTTTCTGATTGTCTACATTGTACTGGACACTGTACTAGGTACTTTACATATATTATGTCAAGCGGTTGAGTTTTGGAATCTGATTCCCTGGATTTTTACCCTGATCTGCCACTTACTTATCTGTGACTGAGGTCTAGTTATTTAATTTTTCTATGCCTCACTGCAGTCATCTGTCAAATGGGGATAATAATGGTGCCTATTTCATAAGGCATTCATAGGAATTATGTAAGATAAAGTGCTTAGAACATTGCCACCCTTAGTAAATGCTCAATATGAGCTAGTTGTTATTGTTATTGATGCTCAGACACTTGATGTGGTTCACACAGCTATTAAAAACATAGGCAAAATTAGGGATAATGCCTTTGGCTCACAGTATGCATTAGATTGTAGTTCTTAGAATTGTTTTAATATTTGCAACTAAACAATGTGTTTTGAAATTGTAGGAGCTGCTTGCAAAATGTTTTCTTCCTGGCTTAAGCTATTTGATTTACTCCATTATATTTGTAGTTAAGGACTGGCTGGTTAACTCAGTTGATTAGAGGACAGTGCTGATAAATTTGTAGTCAGATATACATTCAGGACTGTGGGAAACAGGAAAAATAGCACCAGACTTGGTGTGCCTACACTTCATCACAGTTCATTAATCAAGTTGATAAAGGACTTCCTTTTTTTTTTCTTTATGCATCTAGAATTTATTTTGGTGTAAAGAGTGAGGAAGGGATCCACCTTAGTTTTTCTCCCCAAATAATCACCATTCGTGGGAAATTTTTCCATTAGTTTTTTCCAGCTTTATTGAGATATAATTGACAAATAAAAATTTTGTATATTTAAGGTGTACAACATGATGTTTTGATATATGAATACATTGTGAAATAATTACCTCAATCAAGCTAATTCACGTATCCATCACCTCACATAGTTACCTTTTTTGTGTGTGGTGAGAATACTTAAGATCTACTCTCTTGGCAAATTTCAAGTACATAATACATTACTATTAAGTATCGTCAACATACTGGACATTAAATGTCCAGAACTGATTCATCTTATAACTATCCTTGCATTCTAGCAATAAATCCCACTTCATCATGGTGTACAATTCTTTTAATATGTTGTTGAATTTGGCTTACTAGTGTTTTGTCAAGGATTTTGCATCTATGTTCATCAGCAGTATTGGCCTATAATTTTTTCTCTTAAAGTGCTTTTGTCTGGCTTTGGTATCAGGGTAATGTTGGCCTCATAAAATTGGTTTGGAAGTTTCAATTATTTTGGAAAAGTTTGAGAAGGATTGATGTGAATTCTTCTCTAAAATTTGGTAGAATCTGCTAGTGAAGCTATCAGGTTTTCTTTGTTGGGAGATTTTCGATTTCTAATTCAATCTCCATGCTCATTATTGGTCTGTTCAGATTTACTATTTCTTCTTGATTCAGTCTTGGTAAGCTGTATGTTTCTAGAAATTTATCCATTTCTCCTAGGTTATCCAATTTTATCCAATTTGGGGGTATTTCTGTGGTATCAGTTGTAATGTTTCCTTTTTTATTTCTGATATTATTTATTTGAGCCTTCTTTCTTTTTTTATTAGTCTAGCTAAAGGTTTGTCAATTTTATCTTTTCAAAAAACCATCTCTTAGTTTCTTTTATCTTTTCTGTTGTTTTTCTCATCTCCATTTCACTTATTTCTGCCCTAATCATTATTTCCTTCCTTTTGCTAATTTTGTATTTAATTTGTATTTTTTTGTTTTTCTAGTTCTTTGAGGTATAAAGTTAGATATTTTATTTAAGAGATTTCTTCCCTCTAAAGGCATTTATCACTATAAACTTCATCTTAGAACTGCTTTTGCTATATCCCATAAATATTGGTATGTTGCATTTCCCTTTTTATTTGTCTCAAGATATTTTTTGATTTCTCTTTTGATTTCTTTTTTGACCTATTGGTTGCTAAGGAGTATATTGTTCTATTTCTCCCATTAGATCTGTTAATATTTGCTTTATATATAAGGGCACTTCAAAAAAGTTCATGGAAAGATTCATATTACCTTTTGATACTATTTTTGCATGAAATTTTTGAAGTACCCTTATATTTAGGTGCTCTGATGTTATGTGCATATATATTTACAATTTATATATCCTCTTGATGAATTGACACCTTTATCATTATATAAATACTTTCTTTATCTTTTATGAGTTTTTTAACAAAAGCCTATTTCATCTGAGTGCAGCTACCTCTGCTCTCTTTGGGATTTTATTTGCATGGGATATTTTTTTTTTCATTTTCAGTCTATGTGTCCTTAAAGCTGAAGTGAATCTTTTGTAGGCAGCATATAGTTGGGTCTTGTTTTCTGTCCATTTAGCCACTCTGTGTCTTTGGAGTAGAGAATTTAATCCATTTATATGTAAAACAATTATTGCTACATAAGGACTTACTATTGCCATTTTGCTCAGTATTTCCTGGCTGTTTTGTAGATCATTTGTTCTTTTATTCCTCCCTTGCTGTCTTCCTTTGTGATTTGATGGTTTTCTATAGTGACACGGTTGGATTCCATTCTTTTTATCTTTTATGTATCTACCATAGGTTTTTGCTTTGTGGTTACCGTGAGACTTAAATAAAACCACTTATAGTAATAATGGTCTATTTTAAGTTGATTACACCTTAATTTCAATCACAGACAAAAACTCTTTACTTTTACTCCCTCCCTCAACATTTTATGTTTTAGATGTCACAATTTACATCTTCATATATTGTGTATTTATTACCAAGTTATTGTAGCTATAGTTATTTTTAACACTTTTTTCTTTCAATCTTATACTAGAATTATAAGTGACTTACACACTATCATTGCAATATTGCAGTATTCTGAATTTACCAGTGAGTTTTACACTTTCATATGTTCTCATGTTATTGATTACAATCCTTTCATTTTAGCTGGAACTCCCTTTAGTATTTCTTGTAAGGCAGGTCTAGTGGTAATGGACTCCCTTAGCTTTTGTTTGCCTTGGAAAGTCTTTATCTCTCTTTCATTTCTGAAGGACAGCTTTGCTGAGCAAAGTGTTCTTGGTCGGCAGTTTCTTTCTTTCAGCACTTGGAATATATCATCCCAATCTCTCCTGGCTTATTAGGTTTCTGGTGAGAAATCTACTAATAGCCTGTGGGGGTTCCCTTGTACATGATGAGCCTCTCTTCTTGCTGCTTTCATAATTCTCTGTCTTTGTTCATGTTGAATTTTTCTACAGGTTAAAGCTATTTGGAAACTTTTGAGTTTCTTGTACCTGGGTGTCCCTACCTCTCCCCAAATTTGGGAAATTTCAGCCATTATTTCTTTAAATAAACTTCCTGCCCCTTTCTATCTCTCTTTTCCTTTTGAAACTCACATAATGCAGATGTTAGCTCTCTTGATGGTGTCCCATAAATTCCTAGGCTTTCATTATTTCTTTTTATTCTTTTATTCATTTTTCTCTTCTGACTGGGTATTTTCAAATGACCTGTCCTTAAGTTCACAGATTCTTCTACTTGTTCAAGTCTGCTGTTGATGCTCTTTATTGCATTTCTCATTTCATTAATTGGATTCTTCAGCTCTAGAGTTTATATGGTTCTTTTTAAAAATGATTTCTATCTCTTTATTGAAGTTATTTTCTGTTCATGTGTTGTTTTTCTCTATCATTGTGGTCTACCTCTGTTTTCTTGTAGCTTGCTGAGCTTTCTTTAAAAAATTATTTTTAATTCTTTGTCAGGCAATTTCTTTGGGATCAGTTACTGGAATATTATTGTGTTCCTTTGGTGGTGTCATATTTCCTTGATTTTTTGTGTTCCTTGAAGTCTTGCACTGCTGTCTTTACATTTGCAGAATCAGTCATCCTCCTCTAGTTTTTACTGACTGGTTTCAGTAGGGAAACAACTTCACCAGTCAGCCTGGCTAGGGATTCTGAGGCTCTCTTACACTTTTCTATGGACATGTCCACTCCACACCTCTTGTTCCCTCTTGAGAGGAATTCTTAAGTTTGTAGGCTTTCTCTCAATTTTACAAAGCCAGGCCAGGTGCTGAGAGCCTCCCATTTGTTTTCTGTAGGGATGGTGCCTTGTAATGCTCAAGTTTGTGTGCCTTCTCTTAATCATGCAGAGTTGGGCTATCTGTCTATATGAGACACTTGTACTCACCATCTGTCGGGGAGCACTCTGGAAGCTGGCCTAGAGGTGATAGTGGTGCAATGTGTGGAGCATTTGGGGTGTGTGTGGGCCATTTGGGGTGTTCTTCAGGCAAGGAATCCCAAGTAGTTCATGGGTGGGCTTCCTTATGGAGCCCATGGAGTAATTAGTAGGATTCACAGCCTTTCTTCCTTGCTCCCAGACTGTCCCAACCTCTCAGCTATGCCAATCAACTTGGTGTTCTGGGTGAAGTGAGAAAGAAGTGAGCATCTTAGCCAGCTTCCTGCTCAGCTGGAGGAGCTGGGTGCTCACTCACTGTGCCCTCACTTTCCCCTGTGGGAGAAATCACAGGCTGAAGCGGGTCTCTTATGGCACCAAACTGTGCTGCCTTGGGGAAGGGATGATGCAGGTAAAGTGAATCTGTTTTTCTTACCCTCTTCAATGCATCTGTTCTTGGATTATTTGCTCCAACGGTGTGCTGGAACTTCTCCATTGGACTTTTGGACTCCCACAGAGGTACTCTCATCCGTAGGTAGTTGTCAAAATTGATGCTACTAGGGGAGAAATGATCTTGCTGAACTCACGCAGCACTTCCACTTTGTTAACAGAATTCCTAATTGTGTTACTATTGTTGCATATGTTTAGAGAACTGTAATATTGTTGGTGCATACTTATCACTAAATCATTTCATTTTCCAAGTGCTTTTAATTAATTGATGACGTTAGCAAAAGAACTTTCTTTCTTCTAAAATCTAGATAAGTTACTCTTGTTAAGATTTCAAGTTCCAAAGGCTCATCTATAGAAATGGAAGTTTATGCTTGAGAAGGCTTTGAATATTTTGAAAGCAGAAGAACTACTGCTAAACTAATACATTCCTTTATTATAATAATACAGTAGCCTCTATTTATTAGTGTTTACTGTATACCAAGAATTGTGATAAGTATTTTACATAATCTATTTAATTTTTACCACAATAGTATCTTGTAAATCTCCTTGATACAGATGAGGAAACTGGGCTTAGGTTCACATGGCAAAATTATATGCTGGTGAGTATACTGGCCAGAATTTGAACTCAGATACATCTGATGACTACACTTTAGTTTCTCTTCTCAATAAATTTATTTTGGAGAGAGGGACTTTTTAATATAGTTGTGATCATATAGCATATGAAAAATTGTGAAAGTTGATTTTTACTCCTAATGTTTATTCCTTAATTTAATATTAATGCATGTTTATAGTAGAAATCTTGAAGTTGAACTTTGCTTTTGTTCTTTGCTTACTTTAGGTGGTTTTCCCGCTGTATCATTCAGAAAGCAACTACTGATATTGCAGATTGCTTGAAAGTTTTCATGACTGGTACTAAAAACATAGCAATGGGGGGAGGGGGGCTCCAAGATTGTTCCTTCAGACCTAGAGTCCACATGCTTATATCAGACCAGACAGGTGTCTTCCCCCAAGCCTATCTATGTCAACTGTCACTCAGTTGAAGATCCCCAAAGCTATATGCTGACTCAGGTTACTAGTCAGATTATGTAGCATTTACATTTGTCTGTGTGTGATAAAGAAAGAACTAGAAGTAAATTTTGTGGCTGCTGGTATCCCTGGCAAGCAGTTTGAAGGCCAGAAGACACCTCCTCCCTAGAAGAGCTAGGAATATGCTGACTCAGGTTACTAGTCAGATTATGTAGCATTTACATTTGTCTGTGTGTGATAAATAAAGAACTAGAAGTAAATTTTGTGGCTGCTGGTATCCCTGGCAAGCAGTTTGAAGGCCAGAAGACACCTCCTCCCTAGAAGAGCTAGGATTATGACACAGCAGTGTTAAGTCTAGACATAGGAGAGAAGCCTTCGGGCTTGGGATAAGGATGCTAACAGATAAAGTGGCATAGCGGGAGAAGAGGGGGAGACAGCAGATGAGGAATGGCGGCCTCTTCACAGCGAGATGCAGTGCTAAGACAGCAGTGCAAAGACGGATGCAGGGTTCCCACTTCCTCACCAGCCCTGGCCTAGGTCTCTCAAGTAGTGTGACAGAATCCAGCTCAAATACCAGGTATTAATTAATTATTGTTTTATCCCCCACACTCCCAATTATATAGAGTATTCAGCTGTAACTGTTAAATACAAGGTATGCTAGCATAACTTTTATTTTTTATGCAGTTAAGTTTCTCCCTGTTTCTGCATCATGCCAGTACAGCTGTATGGATTCCCCCTAGATTGGAGGGTAGTCAGGATGGTGTAACATAAATAGTGGTGTAAGCTTTCGGGGCCCTGGGTGGGGACGCCTAGAAGAAAGCAGGTGTCCTCCAGAGCAGTTGACGCTGAGATTCAGCAGGAAGCCTGCAGGACTGCTGGCAAGTGAAGATGCTTCATACATATTAATATATCATGAAAAAAACCAAGCTGTGGTTTCAAATTCGAGGCCCAAATCAACACACAGGGCTGAAGCCTCTGAATTACAGGCCCTGATACGCAGTTAAGGTCTGTGGAAGGTGATGTGAGGAGTCTGAATGCCATGAAAGCTGAACTGCAGGTGGAAATCAGACCATCTTGAACACTGACCACCTTGCTCCATTGTGACATTTCTAGATTAAGTACGAAATTTTCCTCAGGGATTATGTGAAGTGGCAAATGCAAGAACAATATTAGAAATGGAAAATGGGGGAGGACAAGGACCTTAAGTCAGCTTCTTAAAGTATTCAGAAAGCATCTAATTCCAAGCAGTGCAGAGCTTCATTTGTAGGGTTACACCATCAACCAAAGCACTGCAGCCAGGAGCTGAGTTTTGACCTCAGCCAGTTAGAGAGGAGGGAAAGCCTGGTAGCTTGGTGGCAATATCACCTTCAGCTACACCCAAAGGGTTAGAGCCAAAATCTCTCCCCACTGATCTCAATGAATGTATCTATTAAGAATCATGAGTATGCAATTGAGGGATGCAGGAGTAAATTTAGAAGCTGACAGGGCTAAGGAGTTACTTTTTTCATACTGTAACATCAACTTTTAAAAGTTTAATATGGAAAACATTTACAATATTTTTAAAAAATAATTAAAATGCTTAAAACTTCACAGTGATCCTTGCATCCCAGAAGTTTCTTCCATGATGGCAAACATTTGGATTTGGCCTTGGCTTTACAAAACACTTTAATACTTGTTCATTCAGCATTTGGCCACAATGTATATTTAGTCCATCCATTGGCTCACACAGGCATGAGTGTCCCGTGGTTCAGAAGGGATGACTAGAGGCGGAAGAGTAACTCGGGGTTCTTCCTTTCATACTCAGAAAAAAAACTGAGAGGAAGAGTGAAGGTGAAATAGGGTGACTATTGCTAAAGGCAAAGAAAGAAAAAGAAAAATCTTGTCTCCATGGATAATTCTGGAAAAGTTTTGTTTGGAAGTGCTCATGGACGTTCATTGTCCTATTAGGCATTCCTTCCTTTGCACCCTGTAAATGATACAAACCAGGCAAATGACTTGGCATACCACATTTTTGCAACAAATGAAAAAAACCTCCTAATTTAGAAAATTTTATGTATCTCTAGGGAAAGAAAGATTGTGGGTATTTTTTATTTTCTTTGTTTTGCATTGTTTTTTCTAAGGAATATTTATTTAATTTTAAAAAATCACAAAACAAAACACAAAAACTGGTAAGCAGAAGCTACATGGATTGGTTTGAGTTCTCTCCTTCTTATTTTTTGCCTCTCTGGTTCTAAGCTCCAGACTGTCGGTGATTGTGGTCAGGAGGAAGTGCGTGCCACGATTCTTCACAGAAATGAGCCGAACTATGGAGAACCCCCCACTTGGCACGGTCGTGGATTCCCAAGCTACGCGTTCTGAATGGCAAGTGCCAAGTGCCGCCGGAAAACCCGCTTTTTTTGTGTGTGTGTCCTTTTTGAGACTGGCCGCACCGTGCTCAGCCACTGAGCGCTGTGAGCGCATTGGTCATCCCTATATAGGATCCGAACCCGTGGCGGGAGCGCTGCTGCACTCCCAGCGCCGCACTCTCCCGAGTGTGCCACGGGCTCGGCCCTGGAAAACCCGCTTTTTTTGTGTGTGTGTCCTTTTTGAGACTGGCCGCACCGTGCTCAGCCACTGAGCGCTGTGAGCGCATTGGCCATCCCTATATAGGATCCGAACCCGTGGCGGGAGCGCTGCTGCACTCCCAGCGCCGCACTCTCCCGAGTGTGCCACGGGCTCGGCCCTGGAAAACCCGCTTTTAACAAAACGTTCATTGTGCGGTGTTTAGGTGTGGCCTTATTCCGTTTGCCTTCTTTCCCACATTCATTCCTTTTCCCCCTCAGGTATGACTTTTACTTGATCAGCCAGGCCGCCTCTCGGGGAACTGTTAATCCCACCTACTATAATGTCATCTATGATGACAATGGCTTGAAGCCCGACCACATGCAGAGACTTACATTCAAAATGTGTCACTTGTACTACAATTGGATGGTAAGTGAAAGCTGTTTACCTGTGTAAGTACGTGTGGTACTGAAGATTACCACCTAGGAATTGTCACCTGATTCACCTTTGTATCCGCAGGCATAGTACAATACCTGACTTTTCACAAAGGAGGAATGAATGAATGACTCCTTAGGTCCACAGCAGAAGGACCCAGTTTGTCATAGAAACAAAATGGCAATAACTATTATACTAAATTAATACTTATAGTTTCTAGGGGACTTTATTATATACATAATAATAAAGCCTGGGAGGAAATCAGGGTATTTTTATCTCCATGTTACAAATAAGGAAACTGAAGCCAGCTCAGATGTTATGCCTGGTGGGAAGTGTTAACAGGCTTGAGTCGACTCCGTGTTCCTGTGCATTTGGCCAAGGTCAAGGTTTGCTCTGAAGCCCTTGGAACATGAGGTCATAGGAAACTGAGATTCACTCTGAGTGCGCTGGCTCCCAGCTCCCAGCACTGGGAAGCCAGATTGGCCCTCCACCCTGTCTCACTGAGTGAGCTCGAGTTCCCAGTGAGTGAGGTTTCCCTTCGTTGTTTGAATTTGGTTATTGTTTACCCAGAAACACATTATATTGTACATATAACCAGTAGATGAAAACACTCAGAAAAAAATACTTTGAAGAACAAGTTATCCTCTTAATTATGGTCAATATCTTTTCCTCCTCAGGGCTTGATCAGTATCCCAGCACCATGCCTCTATGCACACAAGCTGACCTTTCTGGTGGCACAGAGCATCCATAAAGAACCAAGTTTGGAATTAGCCAATTCTCTCTTCTACCTGTGATGACATGAACCATTGATGTCCCTGGGTGAAGAATCCAAGGAGTAGTTGATATACTTTGTACAAATCTGACATAACCTCAAGGCTGTGGTTGGGGAAAGGGGGTTGAGCTTAGTTTTAACTTCTAGGAAAACAAATTAAACTTAATCAGAGACAGTTCAAAGAAATATATGTTATTTTATTTTGAAGAGTTATATGTTTGGAGTAAATTCCCCTTGTGGTATAGATAGAAGTAAAATACACTATCACCTCTAAAGAATCTCACAAAGTTAAATATTTTCAAAGAAAATAAATGTTTGCATGATATTTTGATTGTAGATAAACAGAGTCTAATTTCCACCTTAGGTTTTGCAGAGGTTTTCTTAAGTAATGTTATAGAGCATTTTGTAGAGTGGTTTAAAGAATTATTAGAAAATAAAGAAAATTCAGAGCATTACATGTTTATTGTTATTTGAATTTTAAGTTGACATTACATGCGAATCTCATCATTTAAGTATTTTCAGCAAAGACTCGTACCCAGAGACCACATCACCATCAGTCCTTGAGTTCTATTTCTGAAATTAAACATCACTTGCTCTTTTGATGGGATTTTATTTCGTTTAATAGCAAATCCCGTCAATGATGATCTTGCTTCCTGCTCACTGAGAAAACAGAAGCCATCAGAAGAGAACTCTCGCAGGCTCCCATTACATCTACCCTCACCTAAGGGCACCTGTGCCCCTAGACTCTGCCCCTTCCCTGGTTATTATAAACACACCAGGTGTTTGCTCCTACAAGGCTCTCACCTCTGTACTAAACCCCATTCCCTCTGGCCTATGAAAGATGCCGCTGTAGTAATTCTTCCCTCTGCCTTCTGCATCATCAGTTTTTTCCTCACTGTTGGATCATTCCCATTGGCATTATAAATATGCTGTTATTTCTCCCATCCTATGAAAGATGCCGCTGTAGTAATTCTTCCCTCTGCCTTCTGCATCATCAGTTTTTTCCTTACTGTTGGATCATTCCCATTGGCATTATAAATATGCTGTTATTTCTCCCATCTTAAAAAAGTAACCATCTCCCCCTCCAGCTGCCAGCCCATTCCTTTGCTCCTCTTTACAGAAAAAAATTCTCAAAAGAATAGTCTAGGCTTGATATTTCCATTTTTTTTTTACTCCAATTAGAATTCCACCATAACCACTACATCAAAATTGCTGTAGTCAAGGTCACCAACAACCTCCAGTTTGCTAAATCCAATAGTCAACTCTCAGTCCTCGACCTACTTGAGCTGTCACATAATTTGACCCAGTTGGTCATTTCCTCCATCTGAGTTGCTCTTTCCTTGGCCTTTGGTATGACACACACTCTCCTGGTTTCTCTCCCACTGCATCGATCACTCATTTTCCGTCTCCTTTGCTGGTTTCTCCTCATCTTCCCACCCTTTTCACATTAGAATGCCCCAGGAATGAGAATATGGCTGCGTGCAACGATATTTTGGTGAAGGGAACATCAGAGTTCCAAGTTCTGCTTACAGAGGACAGGTTGTGTAGGTGACTGCAGGCAAGAGCAGTGTGTGACCAGAAGTTCCTCTCCAAGGGACCACTGGAGGGACACTGGCACAGAGATCATATCAGATTGCACTGAAAATGTTCTTTTCCTCTTTGAGAGGAAAAGGCTTGGTGGAAATACACCCAAAGTGGTCCATTCCAGTAACGATGACCATTTGTGGGGCCTGAGGGCAGAGGGCGGTTAATATATTCCAGGCACAGTGCCGAGTGCTTTACAATACACACACACTTAATCTTCACAATAACTGAGTGAATAATGGCCATTTTGCAGATGATAGAACTGAGAATTAAACATACCATATGACTCACCAAAGTTTATGAGATTAATAAATTGTGGAGCTAGAATTTCTCTTCAGGTTTGTTTGACTGCAAAAGATGTGGATGAACCACAAGACTCTACTGCCTTAATAAAAGGTACTGTAAGATTTTGAAAATTTCTTTCGGAGTTCCTATACGAGGGAGTACCTCATGTGATTTATCGTTGGCATTGTATTTGCCAAGTCTTTGGAGGCAAGGCACTGCACTGATCCTGGGTGGTGGTTTTTGTTTTTGCGTTGATGTCATTGTTGTTTTCTCCTTTCAAAGTACAAGGGTGATGAAAGCCCTATTCTCTAATCAGCTGGCTTGTCTTAAATCTATGGCAGCATTTTCATTAGCCAGTATGAAAGGTCTGTAGAGCCGCCCCACTCTTCCCATTGCTACTGCCCAAGGTAATGACTCCTACCATTTTAGTCCACCAGGGGGCACACAAGGACTGTCGCATGAGCAGAGTCCTTCTCCCTTTGCCGTGTTGTGTGGTGCAACAACCAATGGAAAAATAGTCAAAGTAAACTCCCAGAGGACAACATGGGATTAAGAAATCTTCATTTGAGCTCTAGTTCCAACATGTTTAGCTGTCAGATGTTATAACTTCCCCTCTCTGGGACTCAGTTACCTAATCTGTAGTATGAGAAGGGGTTAGAC